ATGTTTATTAACTACAAATAAATATTTATTAACAGTTAATATATCGTGTTTAATAAACAATTTGTTAGCTGTTAATAAATATTTTTCAACTATTAACAAATATCAATTAACTGTCAATAAATCTTATTTAACAAATGATTGATTAACTAATAAAAAATATTAATTAAACCATCTGATGTTAAAAAATAATTTATAAACAAGTTAACAAATCTTATTAAATATTAACAGATTTTTCTATCAGCGTTATTTTCTTTGATAACTTCGCACAAACGAGCGAACATACGAGCGTAAAAAAATGAAAATAAACAAACCCATCGTAAACACAAAATATAAATTCAATTGACCGCAAAATTATGTAAATTCATTGGTGTGTTAATAATGAAAAAATTAAAAAATATCGTAACATTCGCAGTAGGAAATAACAGACGTAATTAATTAACAAACGAGTAAATTACTTTGTCCGTAATTGAATCGCTCGAAAGGGGAAAAAAAGAAACAACACATCGAACTAAAGTTCTGAAAACTGTAACAAAACAATCGGTAATCAATGGAGCTTTCTCCGTCTTGCATAAGTTACACAACCATCGCAAGCGTTAATAGTTAATTAAACGAATCGTTTAATTAAATAATGCTGATGTGTGTCGTACTTTATTTGTGCGTATCGTGACCTTTGTTTCGTGCGCGGTCATCCTAGTACACTATATTATTATATTATATATTATAATAATATGTAATATTACACTTATGTACATACAAAATTCAAGGGGGCGTTAAAATGACTTTAAAGGTCGTCAAGGGACGGAAGTTAATATCGAGGGTAAATAATTACGTATTAAATTATTTTAAATACTTTATTTTTTTTTTTTTCATTTATTTATTTATATTATTGAGGCTTTTAATGGTTTCAACTGTAACTTCATCAAGCAAGACCGGAGTATATTTATTTTTCACAATAATAATAATAAATTAAAATAATTAAATTATTTTTTTGTGCTCGATTTTTAATGAAGCGCCATCTATGTTTGATTTTTACCTCCACTTTCATTAAATTAAAAAAAAATAAAAAAGAGGAGGAGAAAAAAATATATATATTTTCACACAACATTATTTATCTCCTACGGCCATATAATATCACCTTTAACTATATAACATACCTATATATTTTGTTATTTTATTTTTATTTTATTAGCTAAAAAAATTTATGACAATATCCGGTTTTAGCCCATTAAAATCTTTAGTGCAAATCGTTCGTAACCTTAAAAGTATAAAAGTCATTTCTAGACCGTACGTATGTCTTTTATATATTTAAATTTTATTGCAGCTAAAGTAAATTCATACTTGGATGCTTGGAAGCGTTGGGAATAAATTTTATAGGCTTTTTATTGTAATCCTTCTACTGAATTTATCGGAATGTTCGGTTTTTAAATTCAACCTGGAATACATGCTGCTTTTCAATCGGAAATAATTAATTGCTGTTAAAAAAGAATTATATATTCTTAGGCAAGTTCTTAAATAATTATCAGCCAAGGTGTAAAATTTAAGTACTTGAAGTATTAGAACCATTTAATGATAAGTAAAGCTAAGATTTTCTGTGAGAAAAACTTTAGTGTTATAGTTTGAAACTTTTATTTAATTAATTAAGTTAAATGGGTTTTAATTTTTATTTAATTTTCAAATGTTTACCTGTAGCTTCTATTGAAAATTTTTAAATTAAAAAATCTATGTTTTAATTTAAAATTTTCCCGCCACCTCCATTTTGAATTAAAAGCCCCACCATTTTATTTTAAGCGCACTTACTGACGATTTAAGCGCAAAAAAGACTTATTTTATAAAAATCTTGGTTAGTTATTAACCAAAATTGGTAAATTAGAGAGTAACTGTAGTGTTATAGTTTGAAACTTTTATTTAATTAATTAAGTTAAATAGGTTTTAATTTTTATTCAATTTTCAAATGTTTACCCGTAGCTTCAATAACAAATTTAAAAAATAAAAAACCCAGTTTTTAATTTAAAATTTTTCCGCCACCTCCATTTTGAATTAAAAGCCCCGCCATTTTGTCTTAAGTGCACTTACTGACGATTTAAGTGCAAAAAGACTTATTTTATAAAAATTTTAGTTAATTATTAACCAAAATTGGTAAATTAAAGCCAACAGATAAAATAAAACAGCGTCACGTTAGAAATTCCAGCGCTAACAACCTATTACTTATTCATCTCTCACTAAACTACCTTCATTTTCACGATTTAAGAGCTATTAATTACGAATTTAACCTCCGTAAAATAACTTAAGTTCGACATCCTTCCGCAATGATTAATAATTAAAATTAACCATCATTAATAGCCGTTAAAGTCTTAGTTAATTCATACTTATGACTTAATAAAGACTAAAGTTGACAGTCATGTATTCCAGGAAGGATTTCTTGAAACAAAAACTCGAAATCTCTCACCGATTGCTTCTTTCAATTCTATCAAATTTTCAATGATAATAATATTAATAATAATAATCACTATCACTATTATTATTATTATCATTGTTTATTATTATGTATTATATCTAAACGAACACATATTATACCTCGATAACTATAACCAGTGTGCTCATTTATTTCTCTCTATTTAATGCCATTTGCCAACTCCCTCAATAGGCTACAGGAGACGAGAATCCTCTTCCCCCTTGACCCTCCACCCCCTATCTTCTTCCCACCCCATTCATCCCTTACAGCACACAAACACACTAGTAATTTATTTTTTCTAACATTTCCAACCCTTTGCGCCAACAATTCCCAGTCGGCTATCTACTACCCTCATCACTATTTTCAATCCAAATTTTTACGTATTCGTAATTTTTTATTTTCACCCTTTTTTTTTATCTAACTGATTTCTTTTTATTAAATAGCAGATGGTTTTTTTTGTTTAAGAAAGTGTGGCAATAATTTTTTCTTTAAGGTAGTTCTTTCCCAACCTATAGTTTATGCTACTGCTGTCTTCGTCACGCGCTAGTGTTGCCTCTCTTACGGGCTATTGCTCACTTACTTCCACGCATTACTTTATTTGTTTACTTTACTAGTTTATCAATGATTTCTCAAAAACTATGTGGTAGGGAATTCCAGAATTTTGTAGGGTAATTTAATTATACACGTATTAATCTAAGTAATGTTAGTTTTTAGTGAAATTCTTAAAATTTCTTCAATACAAAAATAATAAAACTTGCGGTTTTCTCTCTCTTTTCCCATACCGCCGTGTAAAAATGTCATTTTCAATTGCAATTATCTTCGGTTAGACGTGGTCAATCGTCTCTAAATTTTAACAGCGTATGTATTATGTATTTAACTACTTCTATACGGAGTTTGGGAGATTTCTTGAATTTTTGCTTAAAGGGCCGAACTACCTTAAGGAGTCAAAATTTTCCTCAAAAATTACAGGATAGGTTCATAAATAAATTAGTCTTAAAAAAAATGTATATTTTTGATAATTAATTATCAATTAATAAATTTCAATTCGTCAAATATTTTTGCATAGAAAAAAACTCTAAAAATTACTTTCAAATTTTTGCATAAAATAAAATTTAAAAAATTACTTTTAAAAATGTTTAAGTATAATAAAAATTAAGAATTTATTAATGTCAAAGAAAAAAACTTAAAAATTTTTTTTACGGACAAATAAAAATAATATTAATATAAATAAATAAATATAAGTAAAAATATATTATAATTTTTGTCACACCTCCCCGCAAGTATTATAGACCCTTACTTTCTCAAAAAGGCATTCTTCAAATTTCCAGATTGCCATCTAGCGTTGAAAGTTTAAAATTAAACCAAACCCAAAATTTTTCCTTCATCTGCTATTTCCGTTTATTTTTCTCACCTCCGAACAATATAAATATTTCCCTCTCAACAATAACCATTCAAATTTATCCATTTATCAATAAACTATCACTAGAACCGTCGACGCGTTAATCGTCAATCGCATCTCCGTTATCCGTATTTAACCAAAAAATCTGAATCTGGCAACGAAAACACCCGTCTATTTGCCATTTATCATAAATACACAACCAAATACATCCACTTGCTCGCGCATAAATAAACCCGGTAATCCTCGATTGTTTGTAAATTTTTCTACCCTTCTCTCACTCTAAACTCAAATCCGCTCAAAATCGCCCAACAATTCTGCCATACAAAAAATAAAAAAAACTTCCGATCCTCAAAATTTACCTTTTAAATACGTGTGTGTGCGAATCGGAGTAAAAATAATTTATTTATTGGCCGACTTAGCTACTCGTCGACGTGATAACGCAGACTTTTGGCCTGACCCTGTCATCGGTTACCAGAAGCCAAGAAGTATCAACATGATTTCCAGCTTACAAATTTTTTTTCGTTATTATTATTATTATTAATTATTAAATATTAAATATTAATATCATAATATCCAAAAATTTCCTACAAAACCCCTAACTTCCATTTCCAGGGGCTGTAGTAACAGAACCGCCTGTATCTTCTTCTCGATTTGTTAATATTTATGTTATTTATTATTATTAATTTCGATTTATTTAAATAAATATTATCATTATAATTATCATTAATATTAATATTAATATCACTACAACTACTATAAATACAACTATTAAAACTACAAATATTCCTAGCGCTATTTCCACGACTTCCGTCACAACAACAACGATAACGATGACGATGACGACTTGAGCGCCACCTGACCCGCGGGTAATAACGCTCGTTGGCCTTGTTACAAATTTTAATATTAATAATAGTAATAATAATAATAATAACAATAATAGTAATAATACCGCAATTATTTTTATTATTATTAAAATTATTATTATTATTATTATTATTATTATTATTATTACTTTTATTATTATCGATAATATTATTATTATTATTATTATTATTATTATTATTATTATTATTATTATTATTATTATTATTATTATTATTACTGTTATTATTAATATAATAATAATAACTAGTGTAACTACGGTAACTACTGTAATAACTGTAATTACTAATTTTAATGACATTTAACCACGTGTTCAACCAACTTCTTCTCGACGACCACCACCAGGACACATGTGAGAAGGATGAGTACCAGTTTCGGTAATATATAAATAAAAATAATAATAATTTTAATTTACATTGTGCTGGCATCTGTAATGACGCTAATGTAAGACATTTATGTCTATTAATTTTAATTATAATATTAATATTAATTATAATCATAGTGTTTATGTTTATGTTCAAAGTTATGTTGCTGTTTCTATCACCAATAGCATTATTGTTGGCAATAATGTTAATAATATTGTTTTTATGATTACTTAAGTGAAGCGTTAATGGATAGACTGATGGCGATAGTTTCTGCTGATGTTCCGTACGGCTAATTACGGTGGGACGTCGAGGCACGTAATTTCTGTGCAGCAGCACCAGTTTCGCGGTGGCCGCCGTTGTCGCCGCTGGACTCCAGGGGAACAACGTTTGCCCAGTTGTCAGAGAAACAACCACGGCCCAGATGCACAGCAGGTAGACCAGGGACACTGAGGCGCCTGATGAAGAAGGCCCGCCTGATGAAGATGGCTGGACTATGCTGATGCTTCCGCCGCTGCAAGAGGAGGCACTCATGGTCGACGGTGGCGCCATCGAAGACGTCTCGAGACTGTTTGCTTGACCTTCACAAACAAATTTTTAAGGTTGAAATTTTTTTTGAGGAAGAAAATTTTTATAATTCTTTTTTTTTTGTGTAAAATTGTTACAAAAAAATTAAAGAATAATTATAAGGGTAGAAAATTTGAAAAATTATTTTTAAATATTTTTGGTATTAATTAAATTAATTAAAAAAATTTTTAAACGTCTGCTAAATTTTATAATTATTATTGTATTTGTATGTAAGTCATTTAAATATTATATTTTTTTAGTAAAACAATTTTAATAGTTGAGTAGATAAATAGATATTTTTGATAAAATATTATTGTAAAGTACATAGTCATATAAAATTTTACAACTTGTTGAAAAGTACTTGAAAAAATTTGTAAGTTACGACTTCAATAAAAAAAAGATAAAATATCTAACAGAGATTTTTGTATAAAAGTAATCTAAAAAATTTGCATTTCATGCAAGTGAATTCTGTTTCAGAATTCATAAGTCATTTTTTTGGAGATAAAAATTTTATTATAAGTTTATTTCATTTTTATTGTGATGTAAATTGCGTTTTTTATGCTCTAATAGTAACGCTAGTTGAAAGCGCGCTAAAATAAAGAAGATCATTTATAATTTAAAGCTCGGGAGTTAGGGCAGTCTTGGTTGATTTTAGAATAGATATATAAGTACATTTTTACAAACTCTATAAGGTAATGTTGTATGTTTTATTAGCAAGACCATCTACAATTTGCATCTATGTAATTCAATTTTAAACTAAGTGAAGTATAATTTGATTTCTTTGTTTTTATTATTTTGGCAAAACTTTAATTTATGGATAAGTTAAAAAAATTAGCTATTTTATGAAAGATAACAAACTTATTTAAAAATTTATGTCAAATAATAATATTAATAATAATAACAGTTTATATTTTTTAAATCTATATTATTAAGAGAATAAGAAAAAATTTTGTCTCCAGGATAGTCATATGATAAAATCATTTTTTTTAGAGAAATTTAGTGTCATTGCAAAGGTCTTGACTTGAATTTGTGCCTTTTCAAAGTTTCATATAATTCTCACCGATAGTCAATTTATTATAAGTATTTAGGCTGCATTCGAAAATGCTCTATCTCTAGATACACAATTAAGAAATGACCTTGTATCTTGAACTATTGAAATTTTTAAAGATATAAGCTCACCCCGATATTACACTCATCGAGACCTTTCATCTGAGTACCCACATCAATTGTTCTTATATTTTATATATCTATATATATATAAAAATAAATTACTAGGCGTTAGTCTCGCTAAAACTCAAAACGGCTGGACCGATTTTCAAAATTTTTTTTTTGTTTTGTTCACTATAATTCAGGAATGGTTTAGAAAATTAAAAATTTTTGACAAACCCGAAAGTTCAGCTAAAAAAATTTAAAAAAAATGAATTGCTGTGCGTTCGTCTCACTAAGACTCAAAAATGGCTGGACCGATTTTCAAAAATTTTCTTCTTGTTTTTTTCGCTATAGTTCAGGGATGTTTTCAAAAGAATAAAATTTTTGGAAAACCCGTAAGTTCAGCTAAGGAAATCAACAGATCTAAAATTGTTAATCTTCTATTTTTTGTATATATGGACGAAAAAAAATTAGGAAAACGGTTGACCCTGAAGTCCACCCCTGCAACTTTCCGCTAATTCCATACTTAAGTGCTCAAAATTGCACTTATTACGTTTTTGAGCTCTTCGAGCTCAAAAATATAATTTATATGTAGTTATATACGCACTACTCTAATTTACACACACACACACACACACACACACACACACACACACACACACACACATGAGGGATTAGAGGAAAGAGGAAAGGGGTTTAGGGTTTAGTGGGTAGGGGCGTCAGCGTCAAGTTTTAGTATGATGCTGCGTCGAGTCGCCACATATCCAGGCCAACAACTATGCCTAGAATCCGTAAAAAGGATTCCCCCCCCCGTAAAGGAAAAAAAAAAAAAAAAAAAAACACACACACACACACACACACACACATACAGCCATAGTGACACCCTCGCGGGGATAGTCAGGGAAGCTTCCTGTGACCTTCAAACGTTGAGATCTGATGAAAACTCGATTTTTGCAAAACGAGGTAAAACCAATAACTTCCCGATTTTTGAAAATCTTCGATTTTTTTAGCGGGAAGTTAAAAATTTCATAAATTCAGTGTTGATTTTTTGGGATCTTGATTTTCAGGCGATAATAAGAAGCGAGTATCATTTAATAACTTGACAAAATTCTAACCGCACGTCATACAGCCGGTATTTATTCTTTATCGAAGTAGATTAGAGTTTAAAGATTGATAATCGCTGATCGAAAGGTGTAACAAAGTATGTTGTAGGTGATACGTAGTTCACCGGGTCAGCTAGGATTATATATATGTATACATGAAAAATATATCAAAATGCATGTGGGTACTCAAATGAAAGCTTTTGATGAGTGTAACATCGGGATGAGCTTATATCTTTCAAAACGTCAATATTTAAGAAAGTATAGTGCAATTTAACAAAAGTCATTATTTAATAAAGCAAAATTTTATTTATAGTTCACAAGTAGCGGCAGTCACATAGTGACTGCAAGGTTGCTAGTATTATTGTTATTAACAAAAATTGAAATTAATAATAATAAAAATGTTTATGTGTGGAGATTGAAAAGATCAAATTGAAAAATTGGCCAAGTAAGATAACCGGATAATAAAAAGGTGGTACCTCGAAAGATAAATGTGTTCCCAGTGAGGTAATCTGGGCTGAGGGTAGCATTTAGATAGCCGTTGGAGGTTGAAAGTTGTAGGATAGCAGTGTAAAGTGTAATGTAATTTAGGTATCGGCATTAAATTGGGTCTCGGGCTGGGTCTTGGGTCGGAAAGAGTTATTTATTCAATAGCGATAGATATTAGATTACAGATGCAATAAATCCCGGGATACCTGTAGATTGAATAGGAGGAGAAGTTTCACAGTGAGGAGCTGTGGGAGGGTCGCCAAGAAACCGACGTCCACGAGGCTTGCGGTCAGTACAATTCGCGCAGACACCCAGTCCAGGGTGCTCCTCCGAACAAACGCGAAAGCAGCATTCCTCCTCCTCGTTACCGTGCAGGGCTCTCGTCGCCTGTTCGCCCGTCTCCGGGATGTTAGGATCTAGAAGGAACATCAACATTAATATCAAAACATCAACATACCACCCAATTATTGCACTTCGTCCTTTATCAGGTAAAAATTGACCAATCGTCCGCTCGAGAGGGTACCACGTTAAATCTACCCTTCTCAATTGATCAATTGGTCAATTGCTGGTTACTATTGTAATGATGATCAATGCTGATAGAATTACCTCTGCAAAGGAAGGTAGGCTCGCCGGCGTACTGAGTAGGATAGGCAGGTGCACGGTCTCCCGGAAGTAGATAAGGGCAGCGTTGTTCCACGGATTGGCAGAAGGACCTGCAGGGCCTAACCCTCGTTTCTATTTTGTGATCGGAGCTCGAGGATCCTGCTGGCCCTTCATGAGCGAAGTAAGGCACCAGGGAGCTGCACACCCATTTTCGATACGCCTCCTGAAAATATACCAATGAAAAAAAAAATATTAGATACGTAGATAAGTAAATATTAATCATATTTATATAGAGCCGACTCTTATTATTAATGATAATAATAAATTTTCTACGCTCAAAATTTCTTTTTGTCAAAAAAAAGTTTACTGAAAAAAAAAATTAATTTAATTCGATGAAAAATTTTGTTAAATATTTACAAGTGGGGTCAACCATTTTTATTTTCATTTTTTTGAACGAAATTTCTATTTGATTTTATTGATATATTGAAAAATACATAAAAAAATGAACAATTAAAAAAAAAAAATTGATTATCACAACTTTAACAAGTTTTCGAAAAAATTTATAAATTTTTTAGAAAATCGTGATATTTTCAACTTTAAATTGTTCGTTTTTTATGTACTTTAAAAAAAATATATCAAAAAAGATAAATAGAAATTTTATCCAAAACATGAGAGCTAAAATTTTTCCAACTTTTGAAAGCAAAAAAGCTATCGAAATTATTATTTTTTCTTTCACGACATTTTTATCATAAATCCGCCGTAAAAACAAACAGAATAAAAAAAATTGAAATAGTTAATTTTTACCTCGTTATGGCCCAATTTTTTTTAATTGTTCGTTTTTTTATGTACTTTTAAAAAAAAAAAAATATATCAAAAAAAAGATAAAAATAGAAATTTTATCCAAAAACATGAGAGCTAAAATTTTTTCCAACTTTTGAAAGCAAAAAAGCTATCGAAATTATTATTTTTTTCTTTCACGACATTTTTTATCATAAATCCGCCGTAAAAACAAACAGAATAAAAAAAAATTGAAATGTTAATTTTTTACCTCGTTATGGCCCAAAATGGGATTGACCTCACTTGTAAATAATTACCAAAATTTTTGAATAAAAAAAAATAATTTTGAAAAGTTTGAATTATTTTTCTCAAATAAAAATTAAAAAATTCTTATATCAAATTTTTCAAAATTATTTTCTTAATTCAAGAATATTTCTCGCGAATCAAGTTAATTTTTTTATTAGTGTATATTAATTACAAAATATTTGCCTTTATAATAAAAGATAAACAAATTAAAATCTAGACTTTAAAATAGAGATGTAAAATTAAAAAATTGTTTACTAAACAACAAACAAATTTAACTTAAAGCTCAGCGAAGCCGGCGATTGACGGCCAGTATTCAATAACGGACTCAATGGAAGGGGAACGGAATAATTAATTTCCTTATCCTCGGGGAGTCTTCGCCCAATACTATAATATAATATAATATAATAAAATAGTATCTCGGTAGCCTGAAAAAAAACCACTGGTGGGTCAATTTATTCGAGCACCGAGTTGGTAAAGCAGCCCCCGGGTGCTACCGCACCTAGTCCTCGACGCCCTGCCCAACAGCCTGATCTCCTACCGAGGTCGGGCATGCTCGGGTCACCAATGAGATGGGTCAATGCCTGACCTACATACTTTTAAAATCCACTCTCAACCCCCGACTCTTCAGCCCAGCCATCTGTAATCTGTAATTTTTAGTAAGATAATTATTAATTAATAATTATCAATGATTCCCGTCAAAACTAGGGAAAAAATTTTTTGATGCTGCCAATTTTCATATAAATCCAGATTAAATTAAAAAGTAATGTTAGATAAGCTCCGCGAGAGCCAAAAAAATATTTTTTTAATATATATTATTAAGAGAATAAGCAAAATTTTGTGGCCAGTGTATTCATATGATAAAATGGGTTTTTGTGGTTAAATCTAATATCGTTGGAAAAGGCTTGACCTGGAGTTGTGCCTTTTCATGGTTTCATATCATTCTCACCGATAGTCAATTTATGATGATAAGTATTTATGCTGCATTTGAAAATGCTCTATCTCTAGATACATAATTAAGAAATGACCTTATATCTTGTGAACTATTGACATTTTTAAAGATATAAGCTCATCCCGATGTTACACTCATCGAGACCTTTCATTTAAGTACCCACATCATTTTTTCATATATTTATATATATTTTATATATGTATATATGAAAAATATATGAAAATGCATGTGGGTACTCAAATGAAAGCTCTTGATAAGTATAACATCGGGATGGGTTTATATCTTTAAAAATGTCAATGGTTAAAAAAGTACAGTGCAATTTAACAAAAATAATTATTTATGAAAGCAAAATTTTATTTATTTATAATTCATAAGTCACAGCAGTCACATAGTGACTGCAAATTCGCTAATTTTTTATTAGCACCATTAAATATTAGTTAATTGAAAAAAAAATTGATCTCAAAAATTTTTTAATTGACTTTCAAAAGGAAAAAAATATTTTTTTAATAATTAAAAATATTTTTTACAATGTAATAAGTTTTTTTAATATTAAAAAAATATTTAAAATGGTAACAAAGCCTTCTATCAGCAAATATTTTAGTTTATTTCTTCCTTAAAAAAAAATCAAAAGAGTAAAAATGCTAAACCGGTACGTTTTATAAAAACTCGCGAGTTTTAGTCATAAGAGGAAATTCAGAAGGCTCACTTGTAGGGTGAAACTTGGAGCAAGCACGTGTTAACACGAGAATCTTTGTTCGTGAACGCTGCCCCGAGGCCTAGAAACACAGACAGCACGGCGATCATTTGGCTCAAGTGTGTGAGAGTGGAAAAAGCGGCTCAGGAGAGAGACGAAGACAAAGAAAGGAGTACAACCAGTTGAAAGGGCGGCAAAACTCCTATCCGCGCCAAAGTGACACAAAGGCTGTTTAAATCGCGTGTCGCGGTCGCGGGCCTAAGATTAAAAGGAGCCGGCAAACGCGCCCTTAGGGCGTGTAATTGGACAGCGCGAGACTCCGAATCCCTGCTGATGGAAAAATAACACTTTCCTGCTGAGAAAATTTTTGAATAGTTAATGTTAAACGAGTGTGGTAGCAGTGGAATAAAAATGAAACCCGGAGGGTGGGAGTGGGCGTGGTTCGCGAAATTCCGAGTATAACTAACACACACCGAGGTGGCATTCCTGAAAATATCCCACTCAACACGGTCCAGTTGTGTATCGCATTGTTCGAGGCATTTTTCAGTTTATCCTTCCTGGAAAGGGATGAGGTATTATTACTATTGTTCGCACGGCTTATTTTTCAGGTCGAAGTTTCTTTGATTGATTGGCTTAATTAATGCCTATTGGAAGAAAAAAAATTTCTACATTAAAAAAAACATAAAATTATCTTGAAGAAAATTTTATTATATATTTTGTTTCAATAATTTCTTGCCTTGATTTTTTAGATTGATAAATTTTACAAATTCAATCACAAGCATCTTTGTGAGACGCAAGAAAATTTGCTATCGAAAAAGACAATTATTTTTAACTAAGAATAATTTTATTTCCCAACTTGGGAATTTATGAATTAAGAGCGTAATTTCAAAGAATTTTATTATATTAAATCAAGTAGAAAAATTAAGAAATTAAAATTAACTTGATTTAAGAATTATTTTTTAAATCAAGAATTTTTCACTTAAATCAAATCAATTTTTTAACATTGTGAGAAAAAATTTCTTCATTTAAATAATTTATTTCAACGAATTCTAAAGCATACACGAAGAAAATTTTATAGTAGAGTTTATTATCTAGTTATGTTAAAATCTATTAACTGAATTCAATAATAGTAAATACTATTTAAATAATTAAGTAAACTATCTGAATTGTAGTATTTACCATCCTGATGGTAACTACTACTATTATGATGGTAATCAGTAATAATAACTGTTATTATTTTAATTAGTTACTACTATTATCAAAATCGTAATTCCTAATATAACCTGATGGTTACAGTTACCATCAGTAATAATAATAACTACTATCTAAGCTAGTAAAAAATATTTAGAAAAATTAAGAATCTGCGTTACTGTGGATGCATTTCTGAATAAACTAAAAGCAGCTGTAGTGCAGTGTAGTGCACAAAAAATCGGAATTAAATTCGGATTGAATTTATATTTAAATTTTTATTTGTCTAAAACAAGTTTCAACGCCAAATTTTTCAAAAAAAATTTGAAATTTTCAATAAAATTTAAATTAAAAAAAAAATTTTTATTTAAAAAAAAAATTTTTAATCTTCAAAAAAAATCAAAATTTTTCAAAAAAAAAATTTTAAAGGGAATTTAAAATATTTTAATATTTCAAAGAAAAAAATGTACATTAGCTAAAATATGGATGTAAATAAAGAATTTAATTAAGTAAACTTATATTATTTTTTCTTTCAGAATTTTTACGATCTGAGATGGTTACAGTTACCATCTTCGATTGTAATAGTTATAATTTATAATAATTACAATTATTATTTTTGATAGTAATCGTTACCATTATTAATAGTAACTATTACAATTGTCAATGATATCACCTATTATTTTGTTACTAATTAATTTTATTACCATTTTAGATAGTAGGAGTTACTATTTTTATATAGTAGGTAGTATAATTAATTTTTCTCCGTGTACCAAAGATTTATTTTAGAAGAAATTTTTATTTATTTTTAAAGAAATAATTAATCAAGACAAACAATTTTTAAATCAAGTAAACTTTACTTAAACTAAGGAAAGTTTCTTAGTTTAAAAATTTTTCTACTCAAATCAAGAAGATGAAGTTCTTCAAAATTATTTACTTGATTCAAGTAAATTTTTTTTTCTCTGTATAAAAATCTCCACATCAATCAATAAACGTTAAATTCCAAAATTCAACATTGATTAACTTTGACCAAAACTCGTGCTCCTTTGATTGATAAAGGCCTCAAAGACAGAACAATCAATTAAGCTGTCGTCGAGTAGACTGCATTACTCAGTCCACATAATACACTAGCGATAACCCACCGAATCGATGATCAGTTGTGATTTCCGTTTACGTAGACCGAGAGCGATACCGCCGAAGCAAGTTTGGGTGCCAGAGCAGGGACGTCCTGGTCTCATCACTAATCAAAAGACGAATTCCCAGGAGCCTGAGGCGTTGAGGGCTTGCAGACGGTCAATCAACGGTTCTTGGCCAGCTAATCGATTGGTGCCTTGCAAGCTATCAGTCCGTCTGTCTATCAGTAGAATTGTCGTCCAAACAGGAGCGATTCCTTATGCTGGCCTCGAGGTGTTGTCCTAGTCCAAAGAGACTTTCAATTCCCTTCGCCTCGGACTGGATCCTATCCGCTTCTCCACACGCTCATTAGGGCTTTATGGCCCGTCAAGAGCCACCTTCCAGTCCCATGCGATTGCTCGGAATAAGCTTGGCACAGTTTCAAGGTATTGTTAGCTCCCGATATTAACGAGTCAGCATTCGTGATGTAGCATTCCTCAAAATATTTTTTTTTCTTTGTACTTTCTTAGATTTGTTTTCTTCTATTTCTTCCACCGAGGCTGCTTGTAAAGGACAAAGCGCCGAATTCAGATTTGCTGCTCTAATTTTTCTAAAGCACAAGAACACTTCTTTGAAATGAGTCCAAAACCAAAATTTAACTTTTATTAGCTTTAAAGTTATTAATTTTTTAAAACTAAGAATCTTTAATTACAAATTTTTAATTTCATCTAATAAAATTTGATAAGTTTAAAATTTAATATCTCAGAAGATATTGGCTGTAGACCCATGAAACAAAAACTAAAATTGAAGCTGAAGATTTGACTTTTTAAATGAGACCAAAAACAATCCTTAATTTTAATTAGTTTCAAAGTTATGCATTTTTTAAATTTAAAAATGATCGTGGTGAAAATTTAACATTTTGCTCAAAAAAATTTTTTTTGATTTTAAAATTCAATAACTTCAAAAATGTCAATCGTAGACTATCAAAATAAAAACAAAAATTGAAGCTAAAGATCTGATCGATCCAATCCGAGGAACGGATTGAACGATAAAGAGGCAACGGCGGAGTTCAACGCGAGACCAACAGCGAGAGTACCCAAGGGAATCCAGCGTGCAGAGTTAGCAGCGAAGATAATTCTTCTGGAGATCGCAACTTTTATTTTGATATTATATTTTTATTATTTTTATATAATTTTGTTGAATAAAGACAAAATTTAATTCATTTTAAACTGAGGGTTATCTCTGACGAAAAACCTAGTTCCCGGCGAGCTATTCTATCGCCTAGAATAAACTTGATACAAGTATTGTAACTGTGGAGATAATTTTTCCTTATTGGAGAAATTAAATATTTGACACGTTACAATATGGACGCGTTAATACTCTGCATGATGCACCGCTGTCGGATAATTTAATTAAAATCGAGCTGAACTCAAACTGCGCTTGTACATATTTGACGCTACTGTACGAAATTTGACACGATGAAAATTCATCATGCCGCCGAATACTTCGGAACACAGCAATTAAAAGACAAAAAATTCTGCTCAAATTGATTGTAAAATAAAAGCAGAAAAAGTTGAAAGTTGAAAGAAAAAGAATGCTTTTGTTTGAATTTTCACTTTTTGTAGCCCCGACATTCGTCATAGTGATGAACGAACGTGTTTACTTGTGTGACGTGGTCATAAATTTAACGGGAAGATCTTTTG